CAACTACGAGGTGAAGCAGTTCCTAGGCCTCAACATCACCTATGCGCCCGAAGCCATTCACCTTTCAGCGGCTAAGTGTTGAACAAGGAATGAAATGACTAAGAATGAAATGAGTACAAATATGGAAACCTAGAAATGTGTACCCCCTATAGGCTAACCCACTGTAGCCTAAACAACTACAACAATATATATATAATGGTTGACACACCCCCATAGGCGAAGTGGGGGAGAACCAGGGGTCACAAGACCAGTCAAGTAAAGCAAAGCAAAGCAAGCTCAGGGTGGATCACAATGTCACCACACAATCCGAGCACAAGTTCAAGGCCACAAGGCCAGTCCACATGCAGGAGTACATATATATATAAGACTAAACAAGCAAGAGCAATGATATATATATGTAACAGTACAAAGAGGGTCAAGAGGAGAGCAAGTGAGGCAAGACAGACACAAGACCCAGCTGGGTACAGCAGCGCTGATGATCACAAGGCGGAAGTGCCTTGGTGAAAACATCAGCAGTGTTGGCCTCAGAGGCCACGTAAGCAAGTCGCAACTGACCACGCTGCTGTAGCTCACGAGCAAGGAAGTAGCGGAGAGCAATGTGCTTTGTTCTGTGCTCCAGTCTCCGCTCTCGACACAAGGCCAGCATGGCCTTGTTGTCGACGTACAGGACTGGAGGAGAACGAGGCGGCTCTCCAAGGTCGGTCAGCAGGTAGGTGAGCCAGCGAAGCTCCTGAGCAGCCATGGCCCCTGCGTAGATCTCAGCCTCACAACTGGAGCAGAGAACAGAAGACGAGCGAGTAGCCCGCCACGAAACAGAGCCGGAACCAAGGCTGAAGGTGTAACCCTGTGACGACCGCTGCGTAGCCTGGTCGTCAGCGCAAGAAGCGTCTGCGTGTCCAGTGAGGACCACTGGACTGCGCCCTCCAAGCACTAGTCCCATGCCCGACGTACTGCACAAGTAGCGCAACACCCTCTTCGCTGCAGCCATGTGCTCTGGTCGGTGTCTCCCAGGAGCAACATAGCGCGCAAGAATGCTAAGAGGGTATGCAAGGTCAGGTCGTGTGCAGGTCATCAGGTACATGAGACAGCCAACAAGCTCTGCATACAGGCCACTCGACTCTACGGACTCATCCGAAGGCAGAGCTGAGAGCGAGTGGCGAGTAGACAGAGGAGTGGCCTGAGGCGAGGAGTACGTGAAGCCGAAGCGCTGAAGGACCTGCTGCACCATGTGTGACTGAGTCATGGTAATGGTGCGGCGTGCTCTGTCCCGGGTGATCTGCAAGCCAAGGTAGCTGCGCAGTTCACCCAGGTCAGTGCACGTGTGTCTCTTCTGCAGCTTGGACTTCACGTAGGCGAGTCCAGTAGTGTCAGCAGTGGCAAAGACCAAGTCGTCGACGTACACGAGGATGTAGAACGGCGGCAGAGAAGTGTCGGTGCGGAGAAACAGCGACGGGTCGGCAGTAGAAGGAGCAAACCCAAGTGCCGCCAGCGTTTAGGGTAGGACCCAGTGAAGCCAGGTGGGCGACGCAGCCAGATCTCCTCGTGCAGGCTGCCCTGCAAGAAAGCTGTGCTGAAGTCGAGAGAGTGAAGCTCGTAGTCCCGGTGAGCAGCAACGTGCAGCAGTACCCGAAGAGTGGTCATCTTTGGGGTGGGGGAGAAGGTCTGAAAGTAGTCAACTCCCTGCCGCTGACTGAAGCCACGAGCCACGTAAAGCGCCTTGAAGACAGGCGTAGAACCCGGCGGCCGCTTCACTCTGAAGATCCACATGCCACTGACGATGTTCGCCCCAGGAGGGGGGACAGCGTCAACGTAGGTGCCTGTGGACTTCCAGGAAGCCATCTCTGCATCCATAGCTGCCTGCCACTGAGAGGAGTAGGGACCCTCTATCGCCTCTGCGTAAGAGCGCGGAGTCGGGATGTCAAGTGCATCCGGGTCTCCCTCAGGGGTAAGCAGTACGGACACGAGATGAGGTGAAGCAGCAGCCAGACACTGGAACTCCTCCTGTCTGTCCTCAAGGACGTCCGTGCCAAGGGCACACTCACCCCCGACGGACGGAGGACAGACAGACTCAGACTCAGCAACAAGACTAGCAGCGTAGTCTAGACGACAGCGAGCAGCAAAGTCGACCAGCTCAGCAACTAGGGCAGACGCAACAGTGGACTCAAAGGAAGGGTCAGTGACAACAGTAGCAAGGAGACGCGTGACAGTCGGACTGGCAGCACGAAGAGAGTCCGACTCAGGGTCGGCAAGAGCAAGAAGAGAGGACGCAAGAGGAGAAGGCAAAGGAGCACGCAGAGGAGCAGTAGACGGACGCAGAGACATCCGGTGCTTGCCAGGGACAGGAGGAGGACGTTGACGCGAACCACGACCACTAGTGCTAGCAGGACGGACAGGCGACACAGGGCGAGACGCAGACTCACGACGCTCAGTAAGACCGTTAGTAGGACCAGAGTAAGGAGAAGGAGCAGGCAGTGACTGGACAGGCTGTGGACACTCTAAAGGAGGGGGAGGACCAGGAGGAGGCGAGAGACCAAGAACCTGCTGAAGGAGCGGAATGAAGTACGGCTGAGGGCGCGTGGCGACTCCAGACACAGCAGGGACAGCACCAGTGCCCCCAGCGGCAGTACCAACGCACGAGTCCGCAGCACCAGCAGGGACTCCAACACCAGGGTCCTCAGCACCAGTCGCAGCTCCAACACCCGGGTCCGCAGCACCAGCAGCAGCTCCAACGCCCGGGTCCTCAGCACCAGCAGGAGCTACAACGCCCGGGTCCGCAGCACCAGCAGCAGCTCCAACGCCCGGGTCCTCAGCACCAGCAGCAGCTCCAACGCCCGGGTCCGCAGCACCAGCAGCAGCTCCAACGCCCGGGTCCGCAGCACCAGAAGCAGCTCCAACGCCCGGGTCCGCAGCACCAGCAGCAGCTCCAACGCCCGGGTCCTCGGCACCAGCAGCAGCTCCAACGGCCGGGTCCGCAGCACCAGCAGCAGATCCAACGCCCGGGTCCGCAGCACCAGCAGCAGCAGGGTCCGTGAGACGAGGCGCGCCACTACGAAGTGTGCAATGGCGCTCGTACCACTGACGGATCCGCTCACGAGAGGGGAGCTCCCGACTAGAAGGAGAAGTACCAGCACAAGTCTCCGTAGCGCGCCTGGTCCCAGAGGTACCTCTCCGGAGGCTGCAGTACTGTAAGTACCACTCACGCAACTGCTCCGAGGAGAGGTCTCGTCCAGGCGTAGGACCCCCTGGCCCAGCACCGCCAGAGTCAGAACTCTCAGACCCAGCACCCCCAGGCTCAGCACCCCCAGTCCCCGCACCCCCAGGCTCAGCACCCCCAGGCTCAGCACCCCCAGGCACAGCACCCCCAGGCTCAGCATCCCCAGTGTCCGCACCCCCAGGCTCAGCACCCCCAGCGTCCGTACCCCCAAGCTCAGCACCCCCAGCAGGACGAGAGTCGACAGCAACCTCAACAGGCTCGACCGGGTCTACCTGAGACACACCTGAGGGAGGGGCACCCTGAGGGGGGAGGGGGTCTACGACAGCAGCACCTGGCGCGAGGAAGAGAGGCGGGGGTGGGAGCGGGGCAGTGCGGTAGGGGAAGAGGCGGTAGTAGGGGACAGACTCGTCAAAAGTGACGTCCTGGGAGGGCAAGACCCGGCGCGAGGTGGCGTGGTAAAACTGCCAACCAGGCGCGTCCGGAACAAAGCCGAGGAAGACGCAGAGAACAGCACGAGAGGAGAGCTTGTCCGCAGACGAATCGCGAACAGAAGCTCGAGATCCCCAGACCCGGAAACGCGACGCATCGCCAACCTCCCCCGTCCACAGCAGTGTGGGCGAGGTCTCCGGCAAGGAGACACGGGGCCAGAGGTTGAGCTGATGCGCAGCGTACCGGACCGCAGACGGCCACAGAAAATGGGGGGCAGCCGCATGGATCAAGGAGGTACGAGCGACCTCCATGACCAGGCCAATGCGGCGCTCCGCAACCCCATTCTGCTGTGGAGAGGCCGGAAGCGTGAACGACTGCTCAATGCCGTGGTCAGCACAGTAGGCTGCCAAGAGGTCGGAGGAGAACTCACCACCTCTGTCAGAGTGCAAGCGCAGGACAGGAAAGTCCGAGCGGAAACGCTCGCTGAGCTGGAGACGAGCTGTGCGGATCCAAGGGATCAAAACATCAGGGACCTCACCCTTGGTGCGCAAGGGGAAGACCGTGGTGTAGCGCGAGTAGTCGTCAACAACGATCAGGAAGTACCTCTCCTGACCCTGACCACGGACGCGGGCTGGGCCCCACACGTCCATGTGGAGCGTCTGCAAAGGAGCAGTCATCGGGGGAAACGAGGAGGAGTGAGGAGCGGCGCGCTGCCGCCCCTCGACACAGGGAAGGCAGGGAGGAGCAGGCGAGGGTGGGAGAGGAGGGAGGACCCTGGGAAGACCAGAGACAAGGTACCGGGAGTGCATGGCACGAAGGCGCTGCAAAGACGGGTGGCCAAGTCGGTGGTGCCAGAGTACAGTCTCGTGCGCTAGAGAGCGACACGAGCAGGGGGCAGACAGCTGACCTGACGCGGACGCAAACGCAGACGCAGACGCAGCGACCTGAGGGGAGGCAGTAGTCAGTGTGTACAGGTCCGACCCCGGCTGCCGGGTGAAGGTAGCCAAGTGGCGGCCCGTACGAGCACACGTGCAGTGTGTCACACGCTCGTAGGCAGGGGTGAACTGGTGAACACCCCTGTCCTGGAGAGCACAACCTGCCACCAAGTTCGTGGAGAACGAGGGGAGGTGGAGACCTGATAGTGTGCCCGACGGGACCGCAGGACAGGGAAGGACAGTGGAGGAGGTCGCAATGACCGGACCCCCAGAGGGGTCAGCAAGGGAGACAGCAACTGGCCGAGCAAGGGGCTCAAGGGCAGTGCGGTCACGAAAGAAACAGCGAGAGGCACCTGAATCCAGCGTGAAGGTGTGCAGTGCTGCAGTCGACACCGTACCAGGGGGGGCAGACACGCACGCACCTAGAGCAGCAGCCTCACCAGCACCTGGGGTAGCAGACAAGTGGGTACCTGGAGCAGCAGACGCACTCGTCCTAATGCCCGGGTCGGGCGGGACACTCGGGTACTCAGAACCCTCTCCACTAATAGACATCACATACATGGCAGAGAGAATAGCATCAACGTCTAGAGCATAGATATCAATCTCCTGGGGCGAGGGAGTGTGCTGCTGTCCCTGGCCGCCGCTAGTGCCTCCACGACCACCACTCCCGCCAACACCTCCTCGACCACCCCAACCCCTGCCGCCACCTCGTCCACCGCCACCCCCACTACCTCCTCCGCCCCGGCCACCTCCCCCGCCGCTGCCGCCACCCCCACCACCGCTGCCCCCTCCCCCACCCGCGCCACCCCCCCCGCCACCACCTCCCCCACCACCGCCACCCCCGCTGTCACCACCACAGCCCTTGCCCCCCTTGCCCTTGCCGCTGCGGCGTCCGCTCGAATCAGACGCAGTCCCGACCTTCTCAGCACCAAGGAGGTTGACAGAAGCAGCAGAGGCGACAGCGGGAAGAAGGGGAGAGGGAGAACACCCCTCAAAGAACGGGGTGCGGGGGTCACCGCGAGAGGCACCTACAGCGACTATGCTAGTCTCGGCTGCAAGGAGCTCCTTCTCGAGGAGGGCAATGGTGAGCTCGGTGGGGCAGCGAGCGAGGAAGTGGTCCCTGACTGAGCGCAGCGAGTCAGGGAGGCGCGTGACTAGGTAGTAGAGAGTGATCCAGAGCGGGGGTGGGTGCGTGGCGAGGAACTCATCAGGCATAGCGGCGCGGAAGCGAGCCTCACTAGTGCGGAGGTGGGTAATGAGGTTAGCGACAGTGTGAAAGGAAGCTAAGTCGGGGAACAGGTAGGGAAGAGAGAGACGGCCTAGAGCAGCAGAGGCCGGTGAGGAGTAGCGGGCAACGACAGCAGTGTACAGTGCCTGTGCAGTCTTGTGCTGCCCAAAGTGCTCGCGCTCATCTATCGGCAGAGAGTTGCGAATGGTGAAGCGAGCATGGGCGTCACGAGTCTGCCACTGTGAGCGAGCAGTGCTGTCGGCAGTAGCAGCAGGAGTAGTAGCGTGGCCTAGGGCGTGATCGTACAGTGAGATGTCTTCCTTGGCAGTGAGCTGTAGGAAGAGGTGTAGGTCATCAAGCCAGGTGTCGAACTTCACTGGGCGGCCCTCAGCATCGAAGGCTAGCACAGGAGGGCTAGCCATGGTAGCAGCAGTAGTAAAAGCAGTAGGAGCAGTAGGGTAGGTAGGGCGGCGCGGCTCGGTACAGGTAGGGCGGCGCGGCTCGGGATAGGTAGGGCGGCGCGGCTCGGGTCGGGCGGCGTGGCTCGGTTCGGGCGGCTCGGGTCGGGCGGCGCGGCTCGGGTCAGGCGGCTCGGTTCGGGCGGCTCGGTTCCGTTAGGGCCGGGCTGTTCGGTGCGGGCGGCGCGGTCTAGGTGGGGCCGTTCGAGGCGGCTAAGGGTGAGCGCGGGGAGCGGGTGGGGTAAGGGACGGGGCCGACGCGGGCCGAAAGGGGTAGGGACGGGGCCGACGCGGGCTGTTAGGGGTAGGGTCGGGGCCGACGCGGGCTGTTAGGGGTAGGGACGGGGCCGACGCGGGCCTCTAGGGGTAGGGACGGGGGCCGACGCGGGCCTCTAGGGGTAGGACCGGGGCCATCGCGGGCCTCTAGGGGTAGGGACGGGGCCGTCGCGGGCCTCTAGGGGTAAGGACGGGGCCGTCGCGGGCCTCTAGGGGTAGGCTCGGGGCCGACGCGAGCCTCTAGGGTAGGAGCGGGGCCGACGCGGGCCTCTAGGGGACGAGCTCGGGGCCGGCGCGGGCCGTTAGGGTTAGGCGCGGGGCCGATTCGGGGCCTCTAGGTGCAACAGCGCGGGGCCTACAGGGCCTCTAGAGGCGTGAACGCCGAGGCGCCCTAGGGCAGGTAGGCAGATAGACAGGTAGGTAGTGGTGGGCCCTTAGGAAAAACGGTCCTAGGAAGGACCTGCTCTATACCATGTTGAACAAGGAATGAAATGACTAAGAATGAAATGAGTACAAATATGGAAACCTAGAAATGTGTACCCCCTATAGGCTAACCCACTGTAGCCTAAACAACTACAACAATATATATATAATGTTTGACACTAAGTACGCAGAGGAGTTAGGGAAGCAGTTCAACATTTCACCTGCACCTCTCTCAACTCCCTACCGAACCCCCGGACCGAACTACAAACCCGACGCCAAAGCCCTACCCCCCGCTGGGATTCAGACTTATCAACAGTAGTTGGGATGCCTCCTCTTCGCCTCTGTCACCTGCAGGCCAGACCTCTCGTACATTGCAAGTCAGCTAGCGCAATACTCACGCAAACCAACGGTTGAAAATCTTCTGGACCTACAGCGCGCCCTCCAATACTGCGTTTCAACGCCCTGTCAGAACATATAGCTTACTTGTTTCTGTAGGCAATAGTGGGGTATCCCATAGGGGGTACAACCCAATTAGGGTTTCCTATTTGTACTCACTTCGTTCCTAGTCACTCTCATTCTCGTTCATATTTTCTCATGGAATCAGAGCAGGTCCCTTCCTAGGGACTGTTCCTAGGGCCCACCGAAGCGCGCCCCGAGGCGCGCGTTTTTTTTAGCGACCCTCCGTGTCGCCCTTACCGCCGTGCTCCCGCTTAGGCCCCTCGTCGGCCCCGCTTAGGCCCCTCGTCGGCCCCGCTTAGGCCCCTCGTCGGCCCCGCTTAGGCCCCTCGTCGGCCCCCCCCTTAGGCCCTTAGTCGGCCCCACTTAGGCCTCGTCGGCCCCGCGTAGGCCCCGTCGGCCCCGCTTAGGCCCCGCTACGGCCCCGCGTCGGCCCCGCTTAGGCCCCGTCGGCCCCGCTTAGGCCCCGCTACGGCCCCTCGTCGGCCCCACTTAGGCTCTGTCGGCCCCGCTTAGGCCTCGTCGGCCCCGCTTAGGCCCCGCTACGGCCCCGCGTCGGCCCCGCTTAGGCCCCGTCGGCCCGCCTAGGCCCCGCTACGGCCCCTCGTCGGCCCCGCCTAGACCCCGTCGGCCCGCCGTAGGCCCCGCTCCAGCCCGCCGTCGGCCCCGCTAAAGCCCGCCGTCGGCCCCGCTACAGCCCGCCGTCGGCCCCGCTACAGCCCGCCGTCGGCCCCGCTACAGCCCGCCGCCGGCCCTGCTACAGCCCCGCTACAGCCCCGCTACAGCCCGCCGCCGGCCCCGCTACAGCCCCGCTACGGCCCGCCGTCGGCCCCGCCGCCCGTGCTGCAGCCCGCCGCGCCACCGTGCAGCCGCCAGTGCAACCGCCCACCGTGCCGCCCGTGAGCAGCCCCAGCCGCCCGTGAGCCGCCCGTGCAGCCGCCCGCGCCGCCCGTGAGCCCCTGCGTCACCCGAGCCGCGCGAGCCGCCCGAGCCGCCCGAGCCGCCCGAGCCGCCAGAGGAGCCGCACTCCTGCTCCTGTGGGGCCACTGCTGCTCCTGGGCTGTGTTACTGTGCCGCTGACCTACCCGACTTTTCCTGCCCGGTGAGACTGTCAGCTGCTGTCATGGCCACCCCCACTGTCCTAGCTTTTGACGCTGAGGGTAGAGCCATTGACTTTGCAGTCTGGATTGAAGACCTGCAGCTGTACTTACTGTGTGATGCGATAGATGAGGTCTCTCTCTTTGACTTTGTCTCTGGAGCTGTCCCTGCCCCTCCTGCTGATGCTGACCCCGCCGTTCGCTCCAAGTGGGCGACCCGCGATGCTGCTGCACGTCTTGCTGTGCGTCGCCACCTCCCTTCCTCCGAGCGTGCCCACTTTAGTCAGTGCAAGACCGCTCAGGCCTCAGGCCTTGTACCACGCTGTAGTTGCACGCTACTCCTCCCCTTCCTCCGCTACGCTTAGCCGCCTCATGCTACCGTTTCTCTTCCCTGACCTCGCTGCCTTTCCCACTGTCGCTGACCTCGTTACCCACCTCCGCGCTAGTGACGCTCGCTACCGCGCTGCCCTTCCTGCTGAGTTCCGCGCCGCAAACCCTCCTCCCATGTACATCACTCTCTACTTTCTCGTCACTCGTCTCCCTGAGTCCCTTCGTGTCGTTAGGGACCAGTTTCTCTCTGTCTGTCCCACCACCCTCACTGTCGACCTCCTTGAGGAGTCCCTGCTAGCGGCTGAGAAGAGCATCGTCGCTGTAGGGGCCTCTCGGGGTGACCCTCGCACCCCCAGTTTTGAGGGGTGTTCTCCTTCCCCCCTGCTGCCCTCTGTCGCCTCTGCCGCTGCGGCCGACCTCGCTGGTTTTGAGTCGGTCGGTGCGGCGTCTGCCCCCAGCGGTAGACGCCGCACTGGCAAGGGCAAGGGGGGCAAGGGAGCGGGTGGAGCTAGAGGGGGCGGTGGCGGGGGAGGTGGGGGTGGCGGGGGGAGTGGGGGTGGCGGTGGAGGTGGTGGAGGGAGTGGAGGTACTGGTGGAGGCGGTGGAGGCGGAGGTGGCGGCGGAGGAGGTAGCGGAGGAGGAGGGGGTGAGGGTGCCGGTGGGGGCGGTGGCGGTGGAGACGGGGGTGGCGGTGGAGGCGGGGGTGGCGGTGGCGGTGGGGGTCGGAGTGGCTCGTCTCAGCGGAGCAGCTCTGGGGGTGGTCAGCGCCAGCAGCAGCAGCAGCAGCAGCAGCAGCCACAGCAGCAGCAGCGCTCTCGCACCATCCCCGCCCCTCAGCAGCTCCGTGAGTGGTACTTGCAGCGTCAGCGTGGTGGTGCGTTTGGTCCCTGCCCCTACGTTCTTCGCACCGGCGACCGTGCGGGGGAGAGGTGTGGAGGCACCCACACAGCCCGCCGCTGCTTTGGCCGCCTGACCGACGCCTGGCGTCAGCAGTTTCCGGAGGCCGCTGAGATCCCCCGCTGGGGGGAGCTGTCTAGGGCTGGTGTAGCTATTTATGATCTTGACTTTGATGCTATTCTTTCTGCTATGTATACTGTGACTGGTAGTGATGAGGATGACTGTTACCGGTGTTTCCCGCCCGACCCGGGCATTGGTACTGCTGCGTCAGGTACTCGTGAGGCTGCTGCTCTAGGTGCCAGTGCGTCTGTGCTCTCAGGTACTGGTGAGTCTGCACTCTCAGGTACTGTGTCGGCTTCGGCCTCTCACACCTTCACCCTTGACTCTGGAGCGTCTCGCTCCTTCTTTCGGGACCGCACCACTCTCACGCCGCTGAGTCGGCCGGTTGCGGTGTCCCTGGCTGACCCCTCTGGGGGGCCTGTCCTGTCTCGCTTCTCCACGGTCCTTCCGTGTCCGGCGGCCCCCTCTGGCACCCTGTCTGGTCTCTACCTCCCCTCATTCTCGACGAACCTGGTGAGTGGTGCTGACCTCCAGGATGCGGGTGTCCACCAGTTCACTCCTGCTCGTCAGCGGGTGACACACTGCACGGAGGCTAGCACAGGTCGCCACCTGGCTACGTTTACACGTCGGCCGGGGTCGAGCCTGTACACACTGACCACTGCTTCTCCTCCAGGTACTGAGTCTGGTAGGGTCCCTTCGTCTGGTCAGGTGTTTGCTGCAGCGTCCAGGTCTGGCCCTGATTCTGCCCCCTGTTCGTGTCGTCGTCTGTCTCACGAGACCCTCCTCTGGCACCACCGCCTTGGCCACCCCTCTCTGCTTCGGCTCAGAGGTATGGCCTCCCGTCTTCTTGTGTCTGGTCTTCCCCGGTCCCTCCCTCCCCTTCCTCAGGGCCCTGGCCCTGCCTGTGTCCCCTGTGTCGAGGGGCGCCAGCGTGCTGCCCCTCACTCCTCCCAGTTTCCTCCGACAGAGGCCCCATTGCAGACGCTTCACATGGACGTGTGGGGCCCAGCCCGCGTCCGTGGACAGGGTCAGGAGCGCTACTTCGTGCTCGTTGTTGATGACTACTCGCGTTACACCACAGTCTTCCCCTAACGCAGCAAGGGTGAGGTCACTAAGGTGCTGATCGACTGGATCCGCGCAGCTCGTCTTCAGCTCAGGCAGAGCTTTGGCTCCGACTTTCCTGTGTTGCGTCTGCACTCGGACAGAGGCGGAGAGTTCTCCTCTGGCCTTCTGCGTGCCTACTGTCGTGCGCGAGGCATCCGCCAGTCCTTCACGCTTCCGGACTCTCCGCAGCAAAATGGGATTGCTGAGCGCCGCATTGGCATGGTCATGGACGTCGCCCGTACGTCCATGATGCATGCGGCTGCCCCCCATTTTCTGTGGCCGTTTGCGGTCAGGTACGCTGCGCATCAGATCAACCTCCAC